CTCGCCATAAGTCTGTCGATATACTTCTGTAGTGTAGCAATCCATAGCGTATGCGCTTGAATCATCTTGGTTTAGATGAAGAGAAACTTTTATAACATGGCCACATGGATAACCAGATGTTTTCCATTTCATACAACTACACGTCTTTGTATTTAGATCGACAAGCCCATTTAAGTTATTATCCAGTACTTCAAACAAAGTGTTTGAACATGGTTCAACTCTCCATGACGTTGACTTCACAACACGTTTCGTTATCTTTTTTTCTGTCCATGGTGTAACACGATGTTCCAATGTTCCTGTAAATTTAAATAAATAATACTTAGTAAAATATATGATAAGTTACGAATTTAAAGAAATAATACCTGCATGGTTTCTTTTCTTGTAGTACCACTGTTGAATAGAGGCTCGAAAAAACTCCATTAACATAGTAATGGGTAATTTCCGGGAATGACGACTTAGAGCGTTGATTGATTCTGCACTATTAGACGTCATGAAACCATATCTTGCTCCAAGTTGATGTACTCTTGACCATCTTTCAAACCCGACATCTTCTAGTGTTTGAGCACACTGAGGAAAAACACGTCTTAAACAATTTATATGCTTATTAAAATCCACTTCCTGATAAGCTTTTACAGCCTTCCAGTATGTCCATTTGTGATTTTTTATACCAGCAGACCTTGATTTTAGATTTCTATACAAATGAACACCACAAAGTTCATGAAAAGCATCTGGGAAACACCTTCTAACAGCGTTGTCAATTGAGTTTGCCCTATCAGATATGATTGTCAGATTGCTAATAAGACCTATGCAATCCCTAAGATGCCCCATAAACCATGTCCATGAATCAGAGGTTTCAGATTTGCCAACCCCGTAAGCTATTGGCAATATCCCATTGTTAGCATCCATGGCTACTGCTAATAAGTTTACTCCAAGGTATCGACCTTTCAAATGTGCTCCGTCAACTATAATAACTGGGCGCATGCAAGTAATAAACGAACGAATCTACAAAATAATATACACAAGAAATATAATCATTTAAATGTGAAATGCATGTAACTAACAAAAATGAGTCAACAGAATTATATTGATTTACTAACCGCAGCACCAATGGCGATAAACAACAACTCAAAGCGTCCATCTCTATCTGTTTTGATATGAGTTACCGACCCAGGATTTTTCAGCTTTAAATTGTGACAATAAGCCGGCAGTTGGGCAAACGATGCTTCTGGCGACCCCCTCAACAATTCCAAGGCATAACATTTGGCTCTCCAAGCTTGAGAATATGATATACTAATCTTGAACCGAGCATTCATGTCAGTCATAATTTCATGTCCCCGATATACCCTGCCATTCAAAAACATTAACTCAGCCAGAAAACCACCCAACACCTTTTTGTTTGCCTGTCTATGGTGAGGAAAAACTTGGGTTCTTGAACATGTATGTTTATCAATAAAAGTCCTAACTTGAAACATTTCGCAATCTTTTATCCTCTTTGCAATCATACGCCACGTACAGTTTTTGTCAATCATACACCTTGTTTCGAAACGATCTTTGCTTGATTTGTTAACTTTTAGTTGATAGTCATCTTCCACACATTTCGTATACAAAGCTATCTTCAAGTCTTCCTTTGTATCAAAACAATCATCTTTCTTGATACGAATAACTTTTGTGTAACAATCAACTGCTTTCTTTACCAACTCTTCTTCCGGTAGCTGAAGTAATTCTAGCATATTCCAGTTATACTCCCATGGCATTTTCTTTTCTTCGGGGACTTTTTCTTCTTCTTTTTCTTCTTCAGGATTATATGAATTGCAGAATGGATGTTCAACATGTTCATTCACAGTCGTAACTTCCTCCTCATTATCATCAACAACATCTTCCTCGGCAACGGCTGTTTCATCATCAAAATTCGGGTATTGACCAATATCAAAATCATTACACGCAGGGTCTGTTTCTTCTTCTGAAACATCATCAAAATCCGAGTATTGACCAATATCAAAGTCCGGGTATTGACCAAGATCAAATTTCGAATACTGACTAGTACTCACAATTTTTTCTCTTGGCTCATCATCGTCTAATTGGTCAATATGAAAACCGGAATTTGGTGCTGAAAGTTGATTGGGATTCGGATTAGAGAAAGGTTGTGGGTTTTGAGAAAAACTTAGTTGATTACTACCCGCTACTGACCCAACAATACTACTTCTAGGTTCAACAACATACAATGTAACATCATCACTTGAAATACTAATGCAAGCAATGAATCGTTCAACATCTTCATTGTCGGTTAACAAATAAACTTTACCATTTCTCTGATAAGATAGCCTAAATCCACTTAGGGGCTCTACTTTGAAACACGTAACATTAGAGTTTCATAAGTTAACTTTTTTAATGACAGTTTTAGTTGAAGATTCATGGGTAAAGGCATATATTGTAAAACACCATGAACATTCTCTCATGACCCTCCAAAACACAAATATATCCAAACATGATCAACATTAGATGATTTCATGGTTGTAAATTAATTTACTAAACAAACGAGCTGCGAAACTAAGACCTGTTGCCGGATGGGGAAGGATGTCGTTGGATATAGGAACGGATGTCGCCGGAGAGAGTGATAGATGGAGATGGAATGAGTTGCGATTTAGGGATTTAGGTTATGAGTTGTTGCTGCTGCGTAGATATATACACAAAAAATTTGTGTTGCGAAACTAAAACCTGTTGTGAACTTTGAAAATCGCATTGCGATTCTGTATTATCTCGTTGCGATAGTCAGAATCTCGTTGCGAAAGTCAGAATCGCGTTGCGAAAGTCAGAATCGCGTTGCGAAAGTCAGTATCGCGTTGCGAAAGTCAGTATCGCGTTGCGATTTTGTATTATCGCGTTGCGATAGTCAGTATCGCATTGCGATTTTCCAAATTCGCATTGCGATTTTGTATTATCGCGTTGCGATAGTCAGTATCGCATTGCGATTTTCCAAATTCGCATTGCGATTTTCCAAATTCGCATTGCGATTTTCCAAATTCGCATTGCGATTTACTTATTCGCATTGCGAATTGGGAAAATCGCAACGCGAAATTGGAAAATCGCATTACGATAGTAATAATCACGTTGCGAATCTGGAAACTGATTTGCGATAATGGAGATCGCGTTGTGAATTAGCGATCGCATTGCGATTTTGTTGGTCATTTTGGCAAATCCGGAAAAAGTTGGTTAAAATCGTATATTATATGGGATTTTTGGTCACTGAGGTTATTTTCTCTAACTATTTTGTTTGTTTGTTGTTGTGTTTCAATCGTAGGCTTTAAAAAAATTGGTTTAACTTTCTTGCAATTCGAATGAGATGTTTCGGATGTTTTTCATTGCCAAAATCAACTGGACTGAGAATATTTTTTTGTTCATAAATTCTGAAAGTGATTGTGACAATATCGATATAATGCGTATCTAACTTCTAACTAGTATTAGTTATCATTTCGATATGGCTTTGCATTGTGAGTTTTGTAGCATGTTATTAGAAATTCTGTCAAGAAATTCAAGGCTGACATAGGAGCTTTTAACTTTTGTCATTTCTTTATTCAGAATGTTGCTCAAGAATCATTGAGGGAACAGTCCCGGTATGTTTTGCCGTTTCTGCTTTATGCCAAAGTTTTGCAGGCTTAGAAGTGCTTGAAATTATGCATTGAACTCCAACTAGGAATTTCTCTCATGCTGGATTGTAATTTAATCATCTCCATGAGTCTTGCAATTTAAAGCTTAAGGAAGAGATCTAGATTTGGGTATGAACAGTGTTCGTATATTATGGTTTTGATTATTTATGCTTGGTGGAATATTTAATTCTAAAAGTTTTCTTTTACCTTTGGTCATTATGGCGTATTCATGAGGGATGTATCGTAAAGGTTGTTTGAGTCAGTTTTTTGTTGAATATATTCATACAATCTGTTACCTTTAATAGAGATTATGCGGACTTACTAGTTAGTTAAGTAATATGCTTATATGTTTCGTTACGTTTTTTTCTTGCCCTAATGCGGATGCTGACTCTCTTCACAATGAAATGTATATAGATCCTTGTACACCTAAAGGTTACTTGCCTCAGTCATCGAATCTTTCACTAGGTTTTATGGCTGAAAAAAGTAAATATAGTTATGAACTTCAAGCTAGGTTACATAAAGGAAAAGGTAACAAACTCTCTTAGAACCGTTACATCTGGCATTACCTTGCGCTACAAGATAATAATCAATAAACTCTCTCAGTTTTTTATAAATAATAAATAATAAAACATATTCAATATCTACAGTTTCTTTATTAAAAAAAGATTATGAAAACTGTTTTAAGGAAAATTATCCAAACAATGTAAAACATTTTACAATGTATCATCCAAACACTGAAAAATATTTTCTGAAAAATGATTTATATTTCTATAAAACATTTTCCAAATTATTTTTTAAATTTCATTTTTCGAAAACTGTTTTCAATAAAACAAATAGACCCTTCATAATAATTAACTGCATCTTCTTGAAAAATATTAATATATTAAGGAAAATAATATATTTACGTGTCACATCAAATACCGTTGAAGATAACCGAAAGTAATGATCATAATGAAAACAATATTAAGATTCAGTTTTTTTTATTAATATGATGTAAGAATAAAATAATATTTATTTAAATATAATTGTTTTTAATTTTTCGACATTGAATGCTCACACCTCTATCATTTATGGTACTTGAACTAAGATTTTAAAAGAACAAAAACAATTCTTTCACCAATAAACTCACTTGGTTCGTTCTATTAAAATCAACTTTTCTAATATAATTTTTAAAAATTTGATGATGAAAATAAAAGCATTCTAATATCTTAAACTCGTAGGTCGAAAGAAAAGAAAAACCAGCCCATACGTGATAGCTGCGTATCACCTACTTTGGACCAAATCTAATTGAATGGATAAGGTTGTGAACATAGATATTTCAAGGGTAGTTGATATTTTGGTCCAAAATATCTAAGCAAACGAATATCTCTTTCTGATTGGCAATAAAAGCTCCAGCAAACTACCTTAGTTTTGAAAGGTAACAAAATGGAGTCTTGTAGCAGACCTAATAGGAGCGATGTGCACTTATCACTGGAAGAGGAAGCTAAAATGGAGGAGCAGACCAGGGAATACTTCCATGACAAAGCACCTAAACGTCACACTAAGCCTCAACGAAGTGAGTATTCTTCTAACTACGTCGACGCCACTCTCGCTGCCGCCGGCGATATCCCCGAATACCTCGAGTTTCAGCGTTTGGAGAATGAGCCCAGGTCAGTTTCCCCCCTTTACTAGAAAGAAAGTTATAAGCTGCTTTAATTATCCCCAGGTCCAAGCTCTCTGGTTTCATTTTGTTGTTTTCCTCGGAAATTTGAAAATAGAAAATAGTGTACAATGGAAATGAAGTGGGAGACGAATTCGTGAAGACCGAATATTATAAGGATCTCAATTGTGTTGACAAACAACACCACACGGTACAAATGAAATCTGTGTTCTTGTTACCTACTGTTCTCTTTGATTATGATAATAAAATTTTATGAGGGTTTGGATTTCAGACAGGAACAGGTTTCATCAGAGTAGCTGACACAAATGGCAGAAACTTTAGTCTAGAACCAGATTCAGTTACCAGTTGCCACTCCTCTTGTAAGGGAAACCCAGCAACCAACGACTGGATACCAGCTGCTCCAGATGCGGTAAATACCAAAATAAACATCATTTATTTCATTCTATGCAACATGATTTGTCTCAACTTTTGTTTACATTTTCCAGATTTATTCGGCTTCAGGTAAGCCTAACAGGAGTGATAGTTGAATTTGGTGAACCGTCAGCGTTTTTCAAGTACCTCCTATGTGTTTTGAATTTAGATATTGAAAACAATTGACATTCACAATACTTATATGATTTTGTATCTTTAACTAGATTGTGATCTAGAATTGCTTATGCTATGTATCTATAGCAAGCTTAAATAAATAAAAGATGAATGTATCTTCGTATAATATGACCGAGCTAAACTTGAACAATGACAAGTTTGAGATTTATCCCAAACTCAAACTCGAGCTCGATAAAATATATTATCTAAGCTCCATTGATGATGTATCAAATCGAACCGTTTCCCAAAAGGGACCAAGTAGATATCCAAATCATGCTTTTAGAGACACCAAATATAAAAATCAAGTTTGAAAAAGGTGATGGTAAGTCCAAGGTCAAATGACAGGTTCTAACCTGATCCGCAGGTGGAAAAAATCTCAATATGCTGCCTTCTAAAACTAAGGGAAGGCAAAATGGTTAAAATTTGTTTTGCGTCAACATCTATTAACTTGGCTATGTCACAATCGTTAATCCCAGAATAATGCACAAGATCACACTCCAGTGATGTACAAACTAGCTGCAAAAACTATATCACGCTTTATGGCATTGTTAGCAGAGTCCATTTTCATGTAAAGTGAGGAATTACCCATTATAGCAGCAGCAGTTTTGAATTCACGACAAGTCTCATCCAGCCTGACAATTGTTCGCACTCTAAGGCCTTCGGGAACGTCCGTGAGCTGACAAATATCAGCAAATGGGGTACCCTGCAACAAGGGAGATATAAGATGACGAACCAAAACCTAGATCGAGGTTTAATGAGTAATCGAATCTGTTGAGGGACTTCAATGGTAAAAAAATAATGTTCCCCATACAAGATCCGGGTTTGAGCAACTGTATTTGCAAGATATGTGTACGATATCAATTGGCTAAGAAAATTTTAAACATATACTATCCCTTGTAATAACCCAGAATATTAAAAAAAGGTTGAATGAGTAATCAGTATGTTGAGTTGTGAAACCTTTGCCCATTCATAAACCACTTCAACAAGACCAAACTTTTCTTTATCGTACTCCTCAGGAGTTATTGGTAATTTGAACTCTGCTTGAAGGTTACCAAGTCTAAGAGCCGTGTCATACAATCTGTAAGAAATAAATATTCACGTTAAATTCTCACCATAGCAATGGCAGGGAAGAGAGAGAACCCTTAATTTCAATCAAAATATCAATAATGTCTCAGAAGTGTAGCTGAAGCACAACTTAGCTCTTATGCACATGTATATTGAGCAAAACAATCATTGTAAAAGAAATTCAATCATAAGAATGACTTTGGCACATTAATTACACGAGAATTGCAATGAGAATTATTTATAAAATTAATAATCTATGCAAACGACACTTCAGGCAAAACTTGACAATAAAGAGAAGATGGATGGGAAGATATTGTAGACATCCGTTTATGTTCGGGTTTCATTTATTTATTATTATTATTACATTTTTTTGTAGGCACGAAACTGAAGCCCAAAATATAAATACAATACCCCAACCAACACGTGACCCAACATCCAAGCCCACCCGATTTGGGTTCCCCCAAGATCCGACCCGTTACAAATAACAGACCCGAACTGGCCCAAAGCATCAACCCAAACCCACTAGGGTTTTTGTCCTAATGCTTCAGTTGCCAGCTAGCCCAGCCGTTGGATCTGTTCAGATCTAACTATCCATATCACATCAAGGTTCTAGGAACCCTAGTTGCTCCTGCCCCCGCCGTTTCAGCCAAATATCACCCATTAGTCAAACCAAGCAAATCAATTAGAAATAAACAAATATATATATTTGTACAAAAGACATCCCAATAAAATCTGGGGTTGTCAATCCACAAGTCACCCAAAGTCTATCAGGCAAGCAAATAAAAAGCAGAAGCAACATACTAAAAGGGGAGCTTTCGGTGAGAAGAAGAGAGAGAAAACTTGAAAGAAAAAAAAAAAAAACAAAGAGAAACCATTCGAAGAAATCAACAGAAACCAGAGAAAAAAAACGAGGAAAAAAGAAGAGAGGGCTTTCAGTGAAAAGAAAAAGAGGAACCATAGAGAGAAAAAATCAAATACAACAAAAGAAAAAATCACAAAAGGAGAGGTTCTTACCTCGGTTCGAAGTGGGAAGCCGAAGGTCGCCGAAGCCTTTTTCCTTCGAGAGGTAAACCCTAAATCTAGGGTGCTAAGGTAATTTTTAGGCTAAGGGAGGCTAAGGTTTGGGTTAAGGAGGACGAGAGAGACCTTTTGGGGTCTTTTTTTCCTCTGACCACCGTGGGCCGCCCTGAGCAGTCGTGTGTGCCGTAGGTGGAAGACGACTACCTCTTCCCCAACGAAGGGAAGTTGAGAGAGTTTTGAGAAACTCTCTCTTTTTCTTTTCTGGAGCTAAGGAAGAAATGAGGAGAATGAGGGGATTAAGCTTGGGCTTAAATACCCAAGGCGAAACGACGTAGTTTCGTCTTCCCCTATTCATGTGTTTTCATATTAGGGGAAATTGCATTTTAGTCCCCTGAGTTTCGTAATATGGTATGTTGGTTTGAAATGAAATTGGATATTTATGTATTGAGCCTTTCATGTTTCCATTTTTATGTTTTAGTCATCATGCATATGCTTCAATGTTTTGGGTTAATTATTTGGCTTGACCTAGCAATTTGTATTTAGTTCATTTTAGTCTTTTTTATTTAATGTTTGTCTGATTTCAGTTTATTTGTGCCTTTAATCCCTATATTTTATTATATGTAAATTAATCACTGGTTAGTCTAAAAAATAAATGGATTATTACCTGTCTAGCCCCTATTTTTTTTATTTTGTTGGTTTGATATTTGTTTTATTTATTTACTGCACATTAACATTTTAAGATAAGTGTATGTATTTTGTTGTAAATATCACTTTGCATGGGTTGTTGTTATATTAAATATTTGTATACGTATTTTGAGTGTTCATATATGGTCATCTATTTTACATATTATGTTTATGTACTTGTATTTATGAATACGTGTATGTGTTCCTTACCCTTTTGAAATTGGTTTCAAATGATTGTACAAAATATTCGTTTTATTCATTTTCAACATTTTTGTACTCAAAAAATTTCAAGAGCATTTAATTGTAGAATGGGCATGGAAAGCACTACTTGGAAAAAGTAGTGTGATCCGATACGACGTTCGAACAAAATATGAACTTGAAATAAAAAGAGTTTATTTCACAAATTAATTCATTTTTATTCTTTATTTTTTTCAAATGATGCTAGACAAGTTTCTCTAAATAGCAATTTATTTTATTTATGCAAAATGTCGATATGAAATTTATATTCGATTTGTGTTTTTTATATTGGAAGATAAAATATTCTTTTACAAATGAGAAATAGTTGAGATAGCTTTCCCGACGGATGATTGCAAATTTCAAGATTTCTTATCAAGTTAAAATCATAATTATTTTTAACCTTAATTGTTTTTAAAAAAAATGGTTATGACAGCTTGGCGACTCTGCTGAGGACCTTTTTTTAAAGAGTCAGGCTGTAAGTCGCTTACATATTGTCGTTGTGGTGGAAATTATGGGTTTGAGTCTATAGTTAACTTATGATCCATTTATTGAAGTTTTTAATTTCTTTATTTTTCATACTAATGATTTAACTTAAATTTTCAGCTTTGTTGTCAAGTTTGTTTTTTCGTTTTCCTTTTGAGTCAAAGGTTTGCATGTTTCTCCTCACACAAATCACGAGCATTTACATGACTTGAGCTCTAGACTCGTGCTTCATTCCAAATAAGTCGGGGTAAATGCTTTACTCTCGTAAGAATTTATTCTTCGTATGAGTTTTTGCAAATAACCCCTGGGATACACATGTCTTATACCTTCGTAGGGATTTATTCATCGTATGGGTATAAGGAAGTGAATCCCCTCGAATTGAACTCAATCCATTTATGCCTATAATGGGTTAGGATTGAGGGTTTGGCAGCCCAAGGGGGCACCGACATCAAGAACAATTCGAGTACCCTTTCCTCATAGTGTCGAAACCATGCATATCGTGAACCGTAGAATGGTCACCCTGGGTATAGGCATACTGAACCTCTTTCCGTCATAGGTGCTAAAAATAGGTGTACACGAAGGATGAATGATTCTGAACCTTTATCTTTTTCTTTAAATTTTGTTGAATAAAAGCATGCGAACTAGATACCATGCGGTTAGGATCAATTTCTTGAAAACAAATCATTTTGGGTAGAAAGCATGTCCGGGTAGGAATGCTATTTAATGAAAGCATGCTCGGGTAGATACTATGATTGGGTATGTGTTATATTTAAATGCCATCTTTTAATTATATTGATTATCTTACTAGTACTAACTCGTTTATTTTCTTTTTGTGTCATTTCACATTTTTTGTATTGCATTTCATTGACATGACATAATGCAAAAATGTTAATTCGTAAAGGGATATTTAAGAGAAAAGTTTCACAAGGAGAGATAAAAGTTTTCAATCAAGCAGTCACGTACACAGAATTGCTCGAAGATCATGCAACATTCGAGAATGGAAAGATGATCGATTGATCCGAGGAGTAATCTAGCAGTAGAGTCTTATTTACAATCATTTCATCGTTAGCCACCAAAAAGTGATGCATTGACTTTAACATTGCAGGGCCATTAATGGAGTTAGGTTAAAGAGCTCTTGAGGGGCATCATTTTCAAGGACAAAGGTCCGAAACGAAGAAATGACCCACTTCATACTCAACATCAAGCGAAAGCATGTCCGTAAAATGGATTATCTTGCAATGTGAAGTCTTTTATCTCTGATGAAAATTATTCTATGATATTCATCGTTGGGATCAACACTTTTTGCATCTACATTTGCATCATTCCATTCTTCATGGCATTCATTTAGGCATTTTACATGCATTAATCACGGATACATGAATTTATCTCATGGAGGACTCTGAGGAGGTATTTCTAACTGTTTAACTTCATTCACATAGTACTGAG